TCAAGCCGGAGAAGCCAGTTTTTAAACCAGAGAAAATAGGAATTTCCTGGCCTTGGCTCAAGCCAGAGAAGCCAGTTTTAAAGCCAGAGAAGCCAGTTTTAAACCAGAGAAGGAAGGAATTTCCTGACCTGGGTTCAAGCCAGAGTAGCCAGTTTTAAAGCCAGAGAAGCTAGTTTTAAACCAGAGAAGGAAGGAATTTCCTGGCCTTGGTTCAAACCAGAGAAGCCAGTTTTAAACCATAAGAGGAAGGAATTTCCTGGCCTCGGCTCAAGCCAGAGAAGCCAGTTTTAAAGCCAGAGAAGGAAGGAATTTCCTGGCCTCGGCTCAAGCCAGAGAAGCCAGTTTTAAACCATAAGAGGAAGGAATTTCCTGGCGTCGGCTCAAGCCAGAGAAGCCAGTTTTAAAGCCAGAGAAGCCAGTTTTAAACTAGAGAAAGAAGGAATTTCCTCCGTTTGCTTTTCCAAGCTGATTCTCCTCTCTGGGCACCATGGTAGGCAGGAAGGCTTGGAGGTGGAGGCAGAGGGAGGGAGAGATCATGGGAGTTGTCATTTCCCAGTTGCAGGCACACTCTTTCCTTTCCTGAGGGCCGGGCCTGGCCTTTCCTGATGACTACAGGCCTCAGCCGGGCAAGAACGCTCTTTCCCTTAATCCCTGCCTGTCCAAGGAGCTACTGGAGCAGGAAGGAGGCAGAGACATGCTTCCTTGTTCTCGGTGGCGGCCTCCTCCTCTCCTCCTCCTCCTCCTCCTCCTCTTTCCCAAACTCAGCCCCCATACATTCATTTTTTTTAAATCCGTGAAACAGCGAGTTTGCGTAAAGCGAACCGCGAAACAGTGGGGAACACTGTACTTCATTTTGTCTTTTGAGAGCGTGGTATAAATCAAGATGTTTTAAGCCCCCAAACCTGCCGTAAGCCGTCCTCCCACAGCCCCCTGCCCACATAGGAGGTCCCGGTTAGGGGGTCCCACTCACCGATGTTGGTGGTGAAGCCCGGAGCGGAGCTGAGCGGGATGGGGAGGCTGAAGCTGGTCCTGGCGGTGTGGAGGCAGGCCTCCTGGTGCCGGGCGTGGGTGCTGAAGGAGGCCGGGGGGGCCCTCTGGCGACGGAAGCCCTCCTGCACGCGCTCCTCCGTCTGCAGGCTCACCAGGTACTGCGTTTGGGGAGGGGGCGGGGGGGGGAGGAAAGGGCGGGGCAACAAGATGGAAGGGTGAGCTAGGTCCCAGCAGCGCCCCTCCCTCCGCAGCTCTCCCTCCTCTCAGTGACACCCCCCCCCACTCACCTGCAGGCAGGGGACGTCCCCCTCGGAGAAGTTGAAGGTCCCCACCACGTCCTCCCCGATCTTGTAGACTGTCTTGAAGATGCAGAAGGTCCCCACTTTGCCCCGAGAGTTGCTAATGTTGTATAGATCTGTGGAAGGAGGGAGGGAAGAAGGCGTCCACACTCATACTAGCTGTACCCGGCCACGCATTGCTGCGGCCCTCTGAAAACAGAGGAATTCCAGACATGAAACAGTCTGGGCAAGGTAACCCTTCCTACAGGCAGAAAATTTTTATTTGGTGTTTGTTGGAAGAGGGGTAGTCTTATACAGCGAGTATACCCCAAACTCTGTATTTTAACTGGAAAAGTTGGGGGTCGTCTTATACGCCCAGTCATCTTATATGCCGGAATATACGGTATATAGATAGAGAGAGCCATCGGGGACAAGGGGGGGATGTTGTTGGGGCTCGGCGAGTCCCCAGTATCTTTCCCTTCCAAATGCGATATACTGGAAACGGGAGATGTATTGATTTATTATTTTATTTGCAGCTTTTCTATTCCGCCCTTCTCCTCACCCCGCAGGGGACTCAGGGCGGATTACAGTGTACACATATATGGCAAACATTCAATGCCAATTTTGACATACAAACATATACAGACATACACAGAGGCTATTTAACTTTTTCTGGCCGCCAGGGGAGCTGTCGCTTTCATCGTCCATCTGCGACACTGATGAAGCACTTCCGCATTCCCCGCATGCTTCCCCGATGGAATGCTTTGCTGGAGTCTTCTTTATGGCCTCATAAATCAGTTAATTTAGCCTCCCCACACTTTAAGGTGGTACCTAATGGGGAGTCGCTTTCATCATCCATCTGCGACGCTGATGAAGCACTTCCGCATTCCCCGCATGCTTCCCCGCTGGAATGCTTTGCTGGAGTCTTCTTTATGGCCTCATAAATCAGTTAATTTAGCCTCCCCACACTTTAAGGTGGTACCTAATTTTCCTACTTGACAGATGCAACTGTCTTTTGGGTTGCAAAGGTCGACAACAGGCTACACACAATTGGTTGGAAACCCACTCCAACCCGGGCCGGCTTCGAACTCATGACCTTTTTGGTCAGTGGGATCTTAATGCAGCGGACACTGCGCCACAATCCCGGTGCAACTACAACTTTATTATTCTGACCAGAACAAACTGAGGTCAACTTCTCAAACTGTGTGCCACAAAATCAGTCACAGCTCAGTCAGTACCTTTTATAGTCCAAAGCAAGAAACATTTACACAACCTAAAAACCTATCTACAGACCCAACAAGAAATTCCAACAAATGCTCCGTTCAGCAAAGGACAAGAGAGATCCCCTCACCTTGGCAGGGGTCTTCCATATACCATGTATATGTATATCAAAACAAACCTATTGCATTTGATCTCCTCGCTTCTAATGTCTGATTGAAACAGAGGCGCTAGTGCAGGCCTGGGCCAACTTCGGCCTTCCCTCCAGGTGTTTACGACTTCAGCCAGTTGGAGGGAGGGCTAAAGCTGGCTCAGGCCTGTACTAGGGCTTTGGCACAGCTCAGAACCTCAATATAATCTCAGAGATGGGAGAGAAGCGCATGACTTACGGAGGCTGCGCCGGGAGGTGGCGGCCATCAGCAGCTCGGTGGCCAGGTCTGCGAGGCGGGAGTCCTTCTTGGCGGGCCCTTCCTCCTCCTCCAGGAACGGGTTGGAGGGGGCCACGGTGGCCACGGCATCGGTCTCCTGGGGGAAGTGGTAGTCCTTGAGCCCTTTGGAGGAAGAGAGATAGAGGGGGGTGTTACAAGTCCTTCCATTGGCCTAGTCACATCCCGCCTTGACTACTGGTCACATCCCGCCTTGACTACTGCAACGCTCTCTACGTGGGGCTGCCCTTGAAGACGGCCCGGAAGCTTCAGCTAGTCCAGCGCGCGGCAGCCATGTTACTAACAGGAGCGGGACGCAGGGAGCATACAACGCCCTTGCTGTTCCAGCTCCACTGGCTGCCGATTTGCTACCGGGCCCAATTTAAGGTGCTGGTGTTATCCTACAAAGCCCTAAACGGTTCCGGCCCAAAATACCTTTCGGACCGCATCTTGGCCTATGAGCCCACGAGGACCTTGAGATCGTCTGGGGAGGCCCTTCTCTCGATCCCGCCTGCTTCACAGGCACGTCTGGCGGGGACGAGAGAAAGGGCCTTCTCGGTGGTGGCCCCCCGGCTGTGGAACGACCTCCCTGCTGACATCAGACAGGCGCCCTCCCTTCTGTCCTTCCGTAAGAGCCTGAAGACCTGGCTATTTGAGAAGGCATTCAACTGAGCGCTACGGCAACTGGTAATTGACAACTGGAACGGAATACGGATTACGGTATTGGTTATGATTCTATGATGTGACGGAGCAGATTATTTAGTGTAACTTAGATTATAGTGTATTATTGTTGTATTGATTTCCTGTTTTGCCCTTTTGTAAACTGTTTTTATATGTTGTGCACCGCCGCGAGTCGCCCTAGGGCTGAGAGCGGCGGTCAATAAATGCAGTAAATAAATAAAATAAATAAATAATAGTTCCTCCTCTACCCAACCTCGCTCCTCCCACCCTCCGCACCGTGCAGCACCAGCACCCGGAAGGGCACCCGCAGGAGCTTGATGGGGGAGTTGACCCGCTGGCAGCCAATGGTCAGCTTGTAGACGTACTTGACCGCCTGGCCACGGAAGGAGGGGGGGCCGTCCACAGGAAGCGTCTCACAATAGGAGTCTGGAGGGAAAGAGGGGGGTCAAAACAGACAGGGGTCAGGGGTCACTCACCATCGGTCCCTTGACTTTTGGGCTCCAAGGGCAAAGAAGCCCCCAGAAGGTCAGCATCATCCTATGTGTTTTCTCTCCCACTTTATCAGAAGCGCATATATCTATCACAGGACATGTTGCAGTTCGGTGTCGCTATAGAGATCCTCTACTCCCACAGGTTATGGCCACAGCACATTCACACCACATTCTGCTCTGCAACTGCCAAGCAAGCGAGATTTTGGGACGGAGCTCAAGAGCAAGTTTAAATCTCTCTATTCCCCCATGCAAAAATGAAACGTAAACATTATTTCCCCTCCTTATGGAGAGGAAAGTGGGATAATAATAATAACAACAACAACAACAACAACAACGGAAGGCCTGATTCTGGCAGCCCAAGAACAAGTCATTGGAACCAAGGCCATCAAAGCCAGAATTGAAAAGTCAACAACAGATCCCAAGTGTAGACTCTGCAAGGAAGCAGGTGAAACAATAGATCCCATCCTCAGCTGCTGCAAGAAGATCGTGGACAGACTCCAAGCAGAGGCACAACACCCTTGCTCAGGTGATTCATTGGAACTTGTGCCACAAACACCATTTGCCTGCGACAAAGAACTGGTGGGATCACAAGCCGGAAAAAGTTGCAGAAAATGAACATTTCAAACTCCCCTGGGACTTCCAAATTCAGACAGACAGAGTTTTGGAGCACAAGACTCCTGATCTCACGATTGTGTTAAAAAACAAAGTATGGATTGTCGATATCGCAATCCCAGGTGACAGCAGGATTGAAGAGAAACAACTGGAAAAGCTGTCACAATATGAGGATTTAAAGCTCGAACTGCAAAGACTCTGGCACAAGCCAGTCAAGGTGGTCCCAGTGGTGATTGGCACACTGGGTGCAGTGCCTCAAGACCTTGGTCTGCACTTAAAAACAATCGGCGCTGACAAAATTACGATCTGCCAGCTGCAAAAGGCCACCTTACTAGGAACTGCATGCATTATTCGCCAATACATCACACAGGCGTATACACTTGGGAAGGGTCCAACGTGTGATCTGCTGTGGACTCCTTACCAGGAGCAGCTCATTACTTCATGTCTTCCATGGCAACCATGGAGCTGTCCCAAATGGTATCTGGCCCTACTTACAGTGCGGGACACACTTTAGACTTGGTTTTCTACCAGGGATGGGAGGACAGTGGCGGTGTTGAGGAATTGTCTATCACTCCGTTGCCATAGACCAACCACCACCTGATGAGGTTTAGGCTCACTGCACCCCCCAACCTCTTCAGGGGTGGCAGAGCCATTAATTATGTGTATATGTGTACATACATAAGATATTAAGAGCAAATATTTCTGCATGGACGGCAGCCTCTCCCCAACTGCCGAGAGTCGACCCACCCACGGGGCCCCTGGCAGGTGCCCAGACTTTTCTTCCTTGAAGGCCCTTCTTCCCTGACCATTTGCTAGTCACGCAGTGGTTCTCAACCTGGGGTCCCCAGATGTTTTTGGCCTACAACTCCCAGAAATCCTAACAGGAAATCCTGACTTGGACACGGTGGTCCACGCTCTGGTTACATCCCGTCTAGACTACTCCAACGCTCTCTATGTGGGGTTGCCTCTGAAGACTGCCCGGAAGCTTCAATCAGTCCAACGTGCAGCAGCCAGATTGCTAACAGAAGCGAGGTACAGAGACCATACGACCCCTCTGTTACGCCAGCTCCACTGGCTGCCGATTAGCTTCTGTGCACAATTCAAAGTGCTGGTTTTGACCTATAAAGCCCTAAACGACTCCGGCCCAGTTTACCTCTCCGAACGTATTCTCCCCTATGAACCATCAAGGCTATTAAGATCTTCCGGGGGGGGGGGGCTGCTCTCGGTCCCACCACCCTCGCAATTACGGTTGGTGGGGACGAAGGACGGGGCCTTCTCGGTGGTGGCTCCCCGGCTTCGGAGGGATCAGATCTGCTCCCTCCCTCCTGACGTACAGGAAACTACTAAAGACCTGGCTCTGGAATGTGGCATTTGAGGACTGAACCTAGAACCTCCTTCCTTGTGCTGAACTGTGATGAACTGCTTCGAGTCGCCTTTTTTAACCGCTTCGAGTCGCCTTTTTTAGGCTGATATTTGCGGTATACAAAAGAAGTAAATAAATAAATAAACTGTGACTACGAGTATGACTATGACTGGATTGACGACTTGGCTTAGGTAATTGTGATGATGATGTTTTTATTGTACAGGGTTAGTCAAAATGAATAGGCCAATAAGAAAATTAATTTTAGACGAATGTATGTTTATTGTAACCAAACTACAGCTACGTAGCGACAGATAAACTATCAAAGTTTTGTCTCACCTTCAGAGATGTTCGATATGGGCGCCCCGTGTGACACGGCAGATGTCCAAGCGATAGTCCAGTTCATTCCACATCCGTTGCAGCACATCCGACGTAATGGCATCGAATGCAGCACATATGCGCTGTTTTAAGTCGTCCAAGGTCAGCGGTAATGGAGGTCGGAACACAGTGTCTTTCACATACCCCCAGAGAGAAAAGTCGCATGGTGTGAGGTCGGGGGACCTGGGGGGCCACAGGAGGAATGGAAGATCAGTCACTCCAGCACGGCCAATCCAACGTCTGGGAAGGTGTTCGTTGAGGTACTCGCGTACACTGTTGTGCCAATGCGGAGGGGCACCTAGCGACGCCTAGCGGCATTAACGTACATGTGTGTTGATCAAAAGAAACTTTGATAGTTTATCTGTCGCTACGTAGCTGTGGTTTGGTTACAGTAAACATACATTCGTCTAAAATTAATTTTCTTATTGGCCTATTCATTTTGACTAACCCTGTACTTTATTGTACTATTTTAATATGTAATGACGTTGCACTTTTTGTACTTATATATTATTGTACTTTCTTATATGCTGTAAACCGACCTGAGTCCCTCGTTGAGGTGAGAAGGCCGGTGCAGAAAACTTCTAAATAAAAAATAAATAAAATAACAGCTGATAAACTGGCTGAGGTTTCTGGGAGTTGTAGGTCAAAAACATCTGGGGACCCCAGGTTGAGAACCACTGTGCAGCTAGCTAGTGGGAAAGGAATGGCGGAGAGGGGTCAGGGTTCCTGCTCACAGGTTTTGGACTCTCCCGGATCCAGGCGCAGGTCACAGAAGAGGATCTTTGGGGGCGTCGAGAGGATGCACTTGCCACGCTCCCCTGCAAAAAAAAGCAAGGCCAGGGATGGGTGCAGACCCAGGGTGAGACCCCACAGAGAGGCTCATCTCTGCGGCTGGCACCAAGCCCCCCTTCCTTCACCCCTTGTATGAACCCAAAGAGAGCATGTGTTGGGAGAGAGGCTCACCTCTGTTGGGGACGAAGACGGTCTCGTTCTCGGCCTGGACGTCGTGGCGGCTGTCCTCCGCCGGCGGCATGGCCACACGGCTCTCGCTGGCGTGGAGCTGGCAGTGGATCTGCGCACTGGCCCAGGCCAGCATTTCACTAGCCATGGGAGGAAAGAAGGAAGGCAAGTCAGGCATCAGGACAGGGAGACAATGGATGTCAACACGAGAGATGCAACCTGAGCCCTGCCACGTGATGCGCCAGGGAAGACCTTCTTGTGGCAACACCAGAGGCACTCCAAGTGGCCAGAGACTGGTCAAATCAACTACCAAGCTTGCAAATTTTGTGTCTTGTCTGTTTGTTTGTTTGTTTTGTTCTGTTAGAAATATAATACAATTGTCTGGTTGTCCCTGACACAATAAATAAACACGAGAGAGGCTTTCTAAGATGTGCAAAGGTAGCTTGAGTGAGGACCCCATCGCAATAGAATCATAGAATCCTAGAGTTGGAAGAGACCTCATGGGTCATCCAGTCCAACCCATTCTGCCAAGAAGCAGGAATATTGCATTCAAATCACCCCTGACAGATGGCCATCCAGCCTCTGTTTAAAAGCTTCCAAAGAAGGAGCCTCCACCACACTCCGGGGCAGAGAGTTCCACTGCTGAACAGCTCTCACAGTCAGGAAGTTCTTCCTCATGTTCAGATGGAATCTCCTCTCTTGTAGTTTGAAGCCATTGTTCCATTGCGTCCTAGTCTCCAAGGAAGCAGAAAACAAGCTTGCTCCCTCCTCCTCCCTGTGGCTTCCTCTCACCTATTTATACATGGCTATCATATCTCCTCTCAGCCTTCTCTTCTTCAGGCTAAACATGCCCAGCTCCTTAAGCCGCTCCTCATAGGGCTTGTTCTCCAGACCCTTGATCTGCTCCCTCCTCCCTGTGGCTTCCTCTCACATATTTATACATGGCTTTACTCTCAGCCTTATCTTCTTCAGGCAAACATGCCCAGATCCTTAAGCCGCTCCTCATAGGGCTTGTTCTCCAGACCCTTGATCTGCTCCCTCCTCCTTCCTGTGTCTTCCTCTCACATATTTACACATGGCTCTCATCATGTCTCCTCTCAGCCTTCTCTTCTTCAGGCTAAACATGCCCAGCTCCTTAAGCCGCTCCTCATAGGGCTTGTTCTCCAGACCCTTGATCTGCTCCCTTCTCCTCCCTATGGCTTCCTCTCACATATTTATACATGGTCCTCATCATATCCTCTCAGCTTTCTCTTCTTCAGGCTAAACATGCCCAGCTCCTCATAGGGCTTGTTCTCCAGACCCTTGATCTGCTCCTCCTCCCTGTGACTTCCTCTCACATATTTATACATGGCTATCATATCTCCTCTCAGCCTTCTCTTCTTCAGGCTAAACATGCCCAGCTCTTTAAGCCGCTCCTCATAGGGCTTGTTCTCCAGAATTGATCTGCTCCCTCCTCCCTGTGGCTTCCTCTCACATATTTATACATGGCGCTCATCATATCTCCTCTCAGCCTTCTCTTCTTCAGGCTCAACATGCCCACAAGACAATAGAGCAGGGCTTCGCAAACTTTTCCAGACAAAGAGCTCTTTTCGAAGCAAAAAGTTTCTCATGGAACCCCAAGAAATGCTTATATGTTATATTCTATAGAAGGTGTTTATATATCATGCATGGGCCAGGCCAGTGGCAGACGGATGGAAAAGGTTTGGCTGAACTAATTCACAATGTCCACAAATAAATAAATGCAATATTCAAAATGGAGAATGATATCAACTAAGGTAAACTTAATAGTATTTCAGTGGAAGACCCCCAGGGCCATCCAGTCCAACCTCATTTTTTTTTCTGCCATGTGTTTTTGTGATACGCAATCTATATAAATAAAAATGTAATGTTCCTTTGTGGGATTAACGTAACTCAAAAACAACTGGGCGAATTGCCGCCAAATTTGGCCACAAGGCACCTACTAACCCAAGGAGTGACCATCACTCAAAAAAATTGATTTTGTCATTTGGGAGTTGTAGTTGCTGGGATTTATAGTTCACCTACAATCAAAGAGCATTCTGAACTCCACCAATGATGGAATTGAACCAAACGTGGCACACAGGACTCCCATGACCAACAGAAAACACTAGAAGGGTTTGGTGGGCAATGACCTTGAGTTTGAGTTGTAGTTCACCTACATCCAGAGAGCACTGTGGATCAAACAGATGGGATCTGGACCAAACTTGGCACAAATACTCAATATGCCCAAATATGAACACAGATAGAGTTTAGGGGAAATAAACCTTGACATTTGGGAGTTGTAGTTACTGGGATTTACAGTTCACCTACAAACAGAGAGCATTCTGAACCCCATGAACTGTTTACCCACAAGCATAGAGAAATATATATTAGAAACCAACACTTTCTCATTACTTTATTTTCTAGATCACCAGACTGGGCCACAGCAACGCATGGCAGAGGACGGCTAGTAATAAATACAGATTGCTGTGCTCCTGGTCTTTTCTGTCAGTAAAATAATAATACTAATAATAATAATAATAATAATAATAAAAATAATAATAATAATAGAAGAAACCCATGCAGGAAAAACACAAAGTACCTCCAACAAAATGGCTATGCAGCCTTTGTAATAATAATAATAATAATAATAATAATAATAATAATAATAATAATAATTATAGAAGCAGAAACCCATGCAGGAAAAACACAAAGTACCTCCAACAAAATGGCTATGCAGCCTTTGTAATAATAATAATAATAATAATAATAATAATAATAATAGCAGAAACCCATGCAGGAAAAACACAAAGTACCTCCAACAAAATGGCTATGCAGCCTTTGTAATAATAATACTAATAATACTAATAATAATAATAATAATAATAATAATAATAATAGCAGAAACCCATGCAGGAAAAACACAAAGTACCTCCAACAAAATGGCTATGCAGCCTTTGTAATAATAATAATAATAATAATAATAATAATAATAATAATAGCAGAAACCCATGCAGGAAAAACACAAAGTACCTCCAACAAAATGGCTATGCAGCCTTTGTAATAATAATAATAATAATAATAATAATAATAATAATAGCAGAAACCCATGCAGGAAAAACACAAAGTACCTCCAACAAAATGGCTATGCAGCCTTTGTAATAATAATAATAATAATAATAATAATAATAATAGCAGAAACCCATGCAGGAAAAACACAAAGTACCTCCAACAAAATGGCTATGCAGCCTTTGTAATAATAATAATAATAATAATAATAATAATAATAATAATAATAGCAGAAACCCATGCAGGAAAAACACAAAGTACCTCCAACAAAATGGCTATGCAGCCTTTGTAATAATAATAATAATAATAATAATAATAATAATAATAATAGCAGAAACCCATGCAGGAAAAACACAAAGTACCTCCAACAAAATGGCTATGCAGCCTTTGTAATAATAATAATAATAATAATAATAATAATAATAATAATAATAGCAGAAACCCATGCAGGAAAAACACAAAGTACCTCCAACAAAATGGCTATGCAGCCTTTGTAATAATAATAATAATAATAATAATAATAATAATAATAGCAGAAACCCATGCAGGAAAAACACAAAGTACCTCCAACAAAATGGCTATGCAGCCTTTGTAATAATAATAATAATAATAATAATAATAATAGCTGAAACCCATGCAGGAAAAACACAAAGTACCTCCAACAAAATGGCTATGCAGCCTTTGTAATAATAATAATAATAATAATAATAATAATAATAATAGCAGAAACCCATGCAGGAAAAACACAAAGTACCTCCAACAAAATGGCTATGCAGCCTTTGTAATAATAATAATAATAATAATAATAATAATAATAATAGCAGAAACCCATGCAGGAAAAACACAAAGTACCTCCAACAAAATGGCTATGCAGCCTTTGTAATAATAATAATAATAATAATAATAATAATAATAGCAGAAACCCATGCAGGAAAAACACAAAGTACCTCCAACAAAATGGCTATGCAGCCTTTGTAATAATAATAATAATAATAATAATAATAATAGAAGCAGAAACCCATGCAGGAAAAACACAAAGTACCTCCAACAAAATGGCTATGCAGCCTTTGTAATAATAATAATAATAATAATAATAATAATAATAATAATAATAGCAGAAACCCATGCAGGAAAAACACAAAGTACCTCCAACAAAATGGCTATGCAGCCTTTGTAATAATAATAATAATAATAATAATAATAATAATAGCAGAAACCCATGCAGGAAAAACACAAAGTACCTCCAACAAAATGGCTATGCAGCCTTTGTAATAATAATAATAATAATAATAATAATAATAATAATAGCAGAAACCCATGCAGGAAAAACACAAAGTACCTCCAACAAAATGGCTATGCAGCCTTTGGAATAATAATAATAATAATAATAATAATAATAATAATAATAATAGCAGACCAGCAGGAAAAACACAATGTACCTCACAAAGCTATGCAGACCTTTGTAATAATAATAATAATAATAATACTAATAATAATAATAATAATAGCAATTTTTGCCACAAAACCCCTGCAGGAAAAAAACAATAAGTACCTCCACCAAAGGCTATGCAGCCTTTGTAGTAATAATAATAATAATAATAATAATAATAATAATAATAATAGAAACCCATGCAGGAAAAGCACAATCAAAGCTCCCCTGACAGATGGTATGCAGCCTTTGTAATAATAATAATAATAATAATAATAATAATAATAATAATAATAGCTGAAACCCATGCAGGAAAAACACAAAGTACCTCCAACAAAATGGCTATGCAGCCTTTGTAATAATAATACTAATAATACTAATAATAATAATAATAATAATAATAATAATAATAGCAGAAACCCATGCAGGAAAAACACAAAGTACCTCCAACAAAATGGCTATGCAGCCTTTGTAATAATAATAATAAAATAATAATAATAATAATAATAGCAGAAACCCATGCAGGAAAAACACAAAGTACCTCCAACAAAATGGCTATGCAGCCTTTGTAATAATAATAATAATAATAATAATAATAATAATAATAGCTGAAACCCATGCAGGAAAAACACAAAGTACCTCCAA